GAAATAATTATCTAATGTTGTTGAGCACAGTTGAATAAGTTATTTGTATGCAATCACTTAATTTATTGATAGTTTTTTTTAGTTTAAACAAAAAGATATTTAGATATTTCAAGACACACGACAGGCGTCGAGTGTCTTGAAATATCGCGCGTCGATATTTCAAGACACGTCCCTACACGTCATCGATACGTGTAGAGAGCTGTCTGTTTTATTTTGGCAGTACCTGTACTTGCATTTGTCAGATTTTATTAATTTGCGGCGGTATAGGAATTGATTGGCGACAAGACTGTTATTTGTTTTTGTCTTGATTTTATTATTTTCATTAAATCTTCACGAGAGGTGGTATCGCGGCTTCAGTTGCGATGGCTTTTTTTTCCTAGCTTGTCTGCGAGTTCGTTAATGTATATGTCCTGTAAGGCTGGGATCCATCCCCCTAATAAACAAACCTCCCTGCAAAATTTCAGAAAGTTTCGACAAAAATCACAGGAGTTATTAAGCTACAAAGAGGGTGAACAAAACACGCACAAACGAACAAGCATCCATACGTAGAGAAAGTCCCCGAATATTTTGCATTTCTCGACGTCCCTCTGTTATGTAACAGCCGGGAAAGTATTAGTTCCTTAAATGCGAGAAGGCAAATTCTAAATAAAAATTGCCGAATGCCGAATGATGTGCGGTAACGCTACCCGATCAACAATCCCACGTTCGATATTATAATAATACAGTAATAATAAAATTGATATCAATAATAAATAATATAATAATGTCATTATTAATACTGTACTGTAATAATAATAACAATAAAAATGATCAAACAAGAAGTATTGCAATGTGTTATATAGTGTCATCTGTCGAGAAAAAAAGACAATAAACGAAGACACAAAGAAACTGGTTATTTGGTTATTGTAGTAACTAGATGAATACTAGGCATCTAAATCTGAGCGCGTATGGCCGATCTATCGCTTCGCTATTACAAGGAACGATTTATTATTCGAAGTAACCATCAGCTTCAGCGCTGAAGTTGATGGTTACTTCGAATAATAATTCGAAGGTGAAGCTTCAGCGCTTATGCCATCCATCCATTTTACCTTGTATATTAGACAATAGATGTTTAAAAAATCAAAGAAAACTTTTATTTTGCAGATGCACAAGGAGATCTTCTCAAATCTTTTCATAAAATCCAAAATCTAAAAAATGAAAATTGGTCATTAGCACGAAGCTAAACAATAACCATGGAATACCGATATTTGTGCATAATATATACTCTAATCTTATGCTTAAGGTCTATATTATCATAAAGCGCCGTAGTGCTCTATAGTAGAGATTATCCACACGTGTAATACCGTATATCAAACTGACAAATTTGACCGTTAATATCTCAAAGACCAATGAACCGATTTGGACGAAATTTAAAATATTTAGTGTCCTCGATGAGGACTACAGAAGCCTTAAATTTTGAATAAATTCCTTGGATCGTTTTGGACTTACGCAATCCAAAATTCGGCATTTTTTATCCTAGATTTACAACCAGAGAAAAAATTTATTATAAATGTAGCATGAATAACGAAGCGTAATGGAATAGTATAAAATACTAGATTCTAACTAATTTTCAGCAATTTATTCTATTCATCTCGTAACAATCTTCGGAATTTTAATGGAATTGTTATTCTTATTACTTAGCAAACAATAACATTTAATACATTGTTTTTAGACAAAGAGTTAAGACGAACTTTGTCATTCCGAACGTATAAGAATTTATTACAGCAGTTCATAATTACGGATATATATATATATAAAGACTGCTGAAGGAAAACCTCGGGGTAGCAATAATAAAAACAACAGTAAAAGACGTGCCAAGAAAATTTCAATTGCACTCTTTCCGAAGATATTTACCAGAGAGAAAAAGTTTGTTTAATTTCAATTATATGTTTTTACAATGTTCCAGTATAATTATTTCATTAAAACATTAAATAATTTCTTATTCCAACTTTATTAAATTTTTCATAGAATGTCGAATTATATTATAACGAATTCAAAAGAACATACGTCCGAAAAATCTAAACACGAAAGCTGCTCATCTTTTCCCGAATTCTTCAACACACGTACACGTGGAATGACAAAGGAAGACGAATGTTGCTCAGGGAACACGATTAATAAAATTGCAAAACCAAAATTAAATGTGCAAATTGAATCGATGACACTAACGGACTGTTTTAGACGGAAAGAAGAAATTATTTGCAGAAACGCTAGACTTACATATGAAAGCACAGTTAAAGAAAAGGCTATATTTGGAACACAGGAATTAGTTTGTTCCTTTGATCACAAACATGGACACTACAAGAACAAAGAAGAAATAGAAAACAGAGTTGAAACACTACTTGATCAAAAAACTGGTAAAAAAAAATGTTCTTTAAATTCATATAAAGGTCATTTTAAATAATTTAATCATTCAAATTTTCATATTTATGAATGTCATAAAGATAATACGTATCCGTGTAAAGAAATAAGTCAAAAAATGAAAGAAGAACATCAACCGTTTAGTTGCGAAAAGGACAAACAAAAGAAAGAATATGATTTTTCAAATGATATAATAGCAGAAATCGGAAAATTTCTATCGATAGAAAATGTTGAAAACACTCGCCACGAAAATAATACCGTTAAAAATGAAATTACTAAGGTAAGTTTACATTAATTTTCGACAAAATAACACAGGCTGTAAATCTTCTGATTCTTAACACACGAGCATACATTGTGAAATAAATGAGGCGTTAATAACTCCTATTAATAAGTCATTCATAATACCGATAAATTCAGAATTGTGTATAAATGTATCAATAAGGAGTATA